TTCTCTATTAGCTCTAGGTAGAAAAAAATCTCCAGGAAGGATTTGCTTGGTCTGGTCTGGGCCCTATACTTATTCCTGGGCCACTTAATTGGGGTCAGGAGGATGGGTGCTAGGGTTAGCCAGTCCTGGGTCACATGCTCACCCCATAGGAAAGACAGGATGTGGAGTATTCAACCAGCAGGGGAATTAGTTACCCAAAGGAAGGGCTGCTGCTTTCAAAGAAGGAGAAAACTCATGCTGAGCAAGAAACAAATGTCCATCACATTTATTGAATCTGAGTGAATTTTTTCATAACACGCTATCATTAGCTTGTCTAAGCTGTCTTTGCAAAGGTAAAACATTACAGAATCCACAGCTGTCTGGAATGTACTGTGGGTTTTATTTGATCTTCCAAAATCATTAGTATTAGCCACCATAGGAGGCCGAACATTAGGTCTGTAACTCTGAAAATATCAAATCCCATTTCCTCCATAAATAAAAGAAGGGTAAAAGCTAATACTATCTACTATTGTTAAAATTTTAATGTTTGCTTCTAAATATAAGTGAAATTTAAGGGTGCTTTAATAAATAATTTTTAAATCTGTTTTTAAAACTTAAACATTGCTGACAGTAACTTTTTAAAATACGTGAGTCGTTCTTGTGTAATGACTTACATTGACATATGATGTAGGGTTCAATTGAACTAGTTAGTATTTCTATTCTCTTCATTATAATGCCTTCAGTGCAGTTTGGACTTCCTTAAATACCATCAAGACCATTACTCAACCAAAAGTAAGGGAGAACAGCACTTTGACCATGAGGAAAACCCTGAGAATATTTTTTCTGCTTCAGTGGTAAACAATTTAAGGGTTATAAATTAGGGCTGTATGGGACAGGAGTTGGGAACAGTAAGGGAACTGGGGCAAGCACAACTTTATGACAAATATTAATGGCCATCTCAATTCTCAACCTGAAAAATTCAGGCTAGCCAGGAGGGCAAGATGCCTCCAAACACAACAGCCTCTTTGAGATTCTCTGGCAAAGTCTAACTGAGGTCACATAGAAATACATAATTCAAAACAAGAAGGGCTTTGTCAAATTTTTTCTACATTTTTAGACAAAGTCCTAATAAGATGATGTTTTCTCTAGCAGACAAGGCCACTTTTGTCCACTGGTGGATACTAACCATGGCACCATTTAAGGCAGTTGAATGCTACCAAACTGATGATAGATCCCTATAACCAACACCATGTGCACTACCCAACAATCACTCTTGCAGCTTTGCTGACAGGGCTTTAATTTTGTACCCTCTTCCTGTCTTCCAGAAGAGGTGGTGTTTCCAGCTTCTGGAGTCTCACAGTCCTTGTCAAGTGATAGGTTTAGGTCTGGGCATGCAGGGCAACTTTGGTGAATGAGACACGAGAGAAATTCTTATTAAGATTGCTAAGCCATCTGTGCTGTTTAAAAAAGGGTCATATGACAAGGATATCCTCCTTTTTGTGATTTTGGATTTTATCCTCAAGTTAGTACTGTGAAAAGAGCCAAGTTAAGAGAATAAACCACCATGCGAAAGACTGCAGAGTGATGGAGTACAAGAAACTAACTCCTAGCTTATTGACAGCTTCAAAATTGGAAAAAGTATTTGACAGGGCTGTATCCTCTCACTACACTTCCTCAGTTTGTATGCTTGAACAAATAACTGAAACTGGACTATATGAGGAATGTAAAATCATTCTTTTTTAAAAAAATTTATTTCTTTACACATAACTGAAAATGTTACAGTACATAAGCTATTTACAGCTGTATAATGTGTTACAAAATAAATTTCCTAGAATGCAACGAAAGTACATTTGATATCATTTTTAGTATCAGAGACTCATTAATAATCTGATGACACAAACCTACTTACTGAAAATGAAGACAACTTGAAGCACTCACTAATGAAGGTAAGAGTACAGCCCTCAATAAGTACATTTACACCTGAATGTAAAGAAAATGAAAATCCTCACAACTGGATCAATAAGCAACATGATGATAAATGGGGAAAACACTGAAGTTGTCAAGGATTTCTACTAGAATCAACGCACATGGAAGCAGCAGTCACGATATCAAGAGATCTATTACACTGAGCAAATCTGTTGCAGAAGACTTCTTTAATGTTCTGAAAAGCAGAAATGTCACTTTATGACTACGGTGTACTTGACCAAAGCTATGGTCTTTTCAAATGCCTTGCATGCATGTGAAAGCTAAACAGTAGGGGTGTTGTTGGTGAAGAATATAAAATATATCACGAACTGACTTGACTATAAGCCCTAATGGTGCAGTGGTTAAGCAGTCCGCTGTTAATTGAATGGATGATGGTTTGAACCCACCAGATGATCTGTGGGAGAAAACTGTGGTAGGCTACTTTCATTGTTGTTTTTGTTAGGCGACGTAAAATTGGTTCCAACTCAGTGACCCTATGTACAACAGAATGAAATGCTGCCCTGTTGTGCGCCATCCTCACAAGTACTGTTATGTTTGAGCCCATTTCTACAGCCACTGTGTCAATTCACTTCGTTGAAGATCTTTTTTGCTGACCTTCTACTTTATCAGGTATTATGTCCTTCTATAAGGACTGTAACTAGAATCACTAAATATAACCATCACATTCAGGATTTGTCAAGACTTGGATATATCGTCAAATGTACATGTAAGGGACTTAATGGATTATATGCATACACATCAACATAAACTTTATATTTTAAAAGTAAAACATATACTCCTGGTCCATAATATGTCCTTGTCTATGAATCAGAAAGTTCATAACCAGGGTTACAGCAATTAAGATTGTTGCTTGTTGTAAAGTGCTGTTGAGTCGGTTCATAGCAACCCTGTATAGGATTTCCGAGGAGTGGCTGGTGAGTTTGAACTGCTGAACTAGCAGTAGCAGTCCAGTGCTTATCCTACAGTGCCACACCAGGATCCCAAGAAAGGCAGTGCATACCAATAAGAAATTCCATTACTAGAGAAGTAAAAAACTATTAAGAATGGTACATTGGTGAGGACATTCAGTTGCGAGTGAAAAAACCCCAACTAGATCTAGATTAAGGAAGAAAAAAGGAAATGTATTGGTTCCTGTAAGTGAAAAGTCTAAGTCCAGCTTCAGATCCACGTGGAAGCAGGTCCACCAGCACTAGAATCAGGATCTGTCTTCTTCTCTTGGCTCCACTTTCCTTTTCAGATAGTCTTCCTTGGTGTGGTGCCTCCCAAGCATACAGCTTACATCCTGTATGATTCAAGTCTCATACAATGAGGACTTTTATTTTCCAAGCTTAGCCCTGGACTTGAGTTTCACAGGTCTGTCTTAGGTCACTTATTTATTCCTGAACTAACCACTGAAGCCAGTGGGATACAGTGAGAACCACAGAGTGGTGCCGTCAAGTCCACCGACCCATCTGGACTGAAAGTAGAGGATGGATGGTCTCCAAGAGAAATCAGGATTCTCTGAACAGAAGAAAAGAAAATGGATGCTGGGTAAGATGTTCAAACGTACTTTCTAGGAACTGGGGTCTCTCCCTGACACACTCTGGTGGTAAACCCGGAATTAATGTGTTGTACAACTCTAGGTGACACCACTCACATTGTTGTTGTTGTTAAATGCCTTCAAGTTGGTTCTGACTCATAGCAACTTTCTATAGGCTTTTTGAGGAGCCGCTGGTGAGTCTGAACTGCCAACCTTGTGGTTAGCAGTCCAGTGCTTACCCTACAGAGCCACACCAGGACTCCACATTATATTCTGTGCAAAACGTATAACACAAAGGTCCCTGTGTCTCCCCTCTTCTCTGGGACAGGAAAGTTGTGTCAACACCAGACATCAACCTGGGAAGCAAACATTTTTAAGACTTGTGGGCCTGGGCAGGATAGGACCTCCTCTCATCACTGACTTTTACCAGAATGCATCTATTTCTAAAGAGCCTGCAAATGAGGCCAACCTTAATTAGAAAAATCCTTTATAGTGATATGGAGCCTAGAACTTCTTTCCAAACCCTTTCAACTCAGGCTTTGTTAAGACGTTTCTGCCAATGGATTGGTCAAGCAAACTATCCCTACGTATCCATTTCTGTAGCTTCTTTCCATATGTGAAAGGGATATTCAGACATTACCTTCCTAGAGCTAGAGCTGACAAAAGTGGCTTGATTACTTTGCACTCACACTCAGGGAGGCTCGCCATCAGTATATGAATCCACTTGTGTTTGAAGAGATTACTACAAGGGCCTGGCCACATGTAAGAGCATAATTTAAAGCAGTGAGGCAAGCCTAGAGGTCTTTGTAAGCTGATCACACAAGTGATTACAAACCCTTGAAATGATCACCAGTCTTTTGGGAAATGCAGCATGACATCATGGTGAAATAGATAGAAGATTTCATTTTAAGTCAAAACAGAGCCAAAGCCTCCTGACTATCTGAGAATGATGAAACTTTGGTTTGCTTCCTTTGCACACATCACCAAGGAAGTCCAGTTGTTAGGACAGGACATCATGATGGGGTAACATGTTGTTTTGTTATACACATGAATCAAACCCACTTGATGGCACCTAATAACAAGCTAGCTTAAAAAAATACATTAGAGTGGATCCTAGAATAGTTCACAGACTCATATAAATTGCTAAATAATCAAGACTCAGGAAATAGTAACCTTCTCCTTGGAAAGCTACCATAAGCCACCCAGTTCTGATGAAGCTCAACTTCTGGGTCTCTCCCTCTGGTCAACTTGGAAATTCCCATGAGAAAAGCTGTTCAGCTCAGTTTAAATCTTTCCTTATCAATCAGCGATGGGAATGAGGCAGAATCACAAAGCAGACACTGCTCCCATAAAGGGGAACTTTAAATGTAGCAGCCACTCTAAAGGAGGTTTACTTCAATTACCCAGGATGGTAAAGCCTTCATTTTATACAGCTGATGAATAAAAGTCAAGGGTAAAAAAGGTACAAAAGACACTGTTTAGTCAAACAATTTTAATCAAATTAATAGCAAGAATCAAAGCTGATTTCTTACACGTTTAAAATGTTTTCACTGTCTTTATGTATAAGGTGTTGAAGGTGGAACCCACTCCTGAATCTTCTTTCTAGTGGTGGAATAAGGTACATACTGCCCTGGAGTGCCACTCTGGTTGAATTTATGGTTCGTCCAGATGAACTTGCGAGCAGTGGGTGGTTTTATAGTTGGAGGATCATCAGTCATACAGTGAAGCCAACGATGCCTTAAAGAAAACAAAAGAACAATATCAAAACAGTTATGAATAAGCAGTATAGCACAGTGGAAGGGGAGGGTCTGGAGCTCGTTTGCTGCCTGAGTTCAAACCTCAGCCCCCTCACTTAATAGCGGAGCTTTTCTTTACCTTCGTCTTTTTGTCTGCACATTCCTATTTCCTAGGGACGGTACAAGGAATAAATGATATAATAAACATAAAGCACCTAGAAACATTCCTGCACATTATAAATACTAGACAAATGTTAGCTAATGTTATGATCTTTACTATATTTCATTAAATCTAGGACACAGTGTAAGGCGCTGTAGGATAAGCACTGTTGGCAGTTCAAACCCACCAGCCGCTCCTCGGAAACACTATACAGGGTCGCTAACACAACAGCACTTAACAATATGGAAAAAAAAAAATTCTGCCAATGAAATGATGACACACTGTTGACTGTACTACACTCCTGACTTCAGATGTGAGTGCATGTTTAGAACTTTTACTGTTAACTACGTGAGACTGGCTCTGGATGTTGACCACCCTCGTGTCCAGTGTGCTCAGGCTGCTCCGGCTCAGAAAGCACTAGTTTGGAACCAATGAGGTTACTACTGAAGAGGGTCTCTGCATGCATATTAAGTTCACTCTTCCATCTGGGCATGACAGAACACACAATTCACACATTTAAAATATGAAATCACAACACCAAGTTACAAGTATGGCCAAGACACAGATTTAACAATTTAATCCTTATCTGTGGTGCAAAGAAGAGGGTAGGGTACATAGAGTGATGATGCCACTAGTCAGAGGAAACAAACCAACCCGCTGCTGTCAAATTGACTGTCACAGCGACCCTGGGGACAGAACAGAACTGCTCCATAGGGTTTCCAAGACTGGAAATCTTAACAAGAACCCACAGTCTCATCTCTCTCCTGTGGAACAGCTGGTGGGTTTGAACCACTGACATTGCAGTCCAATGCCTACTGTGTCACCAGGCCTCCTAATCAGAGAATAGAGAAATTATATCCTGATGGAAGGAAGCCTGGCTGAAGAGTTTACACAGAAAAGGAAGGGAAGAGAGAATTGATACCAATTTCCCCAAGGCCCAAAGCTCACAGGACAGAGATAAGCCCTAAGAGAGTAAGGAATGAAGAAATAGGCAAAACGTTGTAGCCTTAAGGGGGAAAAAGGGATTAACCAGCTGCAGAGAAAAAAGCAAAAAGGAGGTTTCAGTACAATAAGACCAAAGCTAATGAGAGAAAGATATGATGCTATGTAAGCTTAAACCTACCTATAAGCAGTACTGATATAGTTAGGTAATTTTTTTGTTTGTTTTGTTAGGTATCATTGAGGTGTTTCCAACTCATGCAACAGAACAAAACACTTACACACAGCAGACCAAAACCCTGCCTGGTCCTGCTCCATCCTCACAATTGCTGTTAAACTTGAGCCTATTGCTGCTGCCACGGTGCCAAGCTATGTCGTTGGGGATCTTCCTCTTTTTTGCTGACCCTCCACTTTACCAAACATGATGTTCAACTCCAGGTACTGGTCCCTGTTAATAATATGTCCGAAGTATAAGAGATGAAGTCTCACCATTCTGGCTTCTAAGAGCATTCTGGCTGTACTTCTTCCAACACAGATTTGTTATCTATAACCAATTAGAAGAGATAAAATGATTGCTATTGTTGTTGTGAAGGTGCTCTGGTAGCGTAGTGGTTACGAATCAGGCTGCTAATGTCACGGTCAGCAACTACCAGCTGTTCCGCGGGAGAAAGATGAGGCTTTCTGCTCCCATAAAGATTTACAGCTTTGGAAACCTGTACAGGGTCACTATAAGTTGGAACTGACTCCACAGCACATAACAACAACAACTGTTGTTGTGTACCACTCTGGGTTGACTCCAATCCACTGTTACCCTACAGGATACAGAAGTACCCCACAGAGTTTCCCATGTTAAAATCTTTATAGGAGCAGATTGCTAGGTCTTTTCTTCTACAGAGTAGCTGACCGGTTCAAGCCACTGACCTTTCAATTAGTAGCTGAGCACTGAACCACTGAGCTACCAGGGCTCCTTAAAATATGATTGTTGTTGTTGTTAAGTGCCGTTGAGTTGGTTCCGACTCATAGCGACCCGGTATAAGATTTCTAAGTAGCAGCTAGTGGGTCTGAACTGCCGACCTTGTAGTTCAAAGTCCAGTGTCGATTTGGCAGCGCCACACCAGGAGTGTTATTTGCTGTTGTTGTTAAATGCTGTCGAGTCGGTTCCAACTCCTAGTGACCCTGTATGGGGTTTCCGAGGAGTGACTGGTAAGCTTGAACTGCTGACCGACCTTGCAGTCCAGCGCATTAACCCGCAGTGCCACAACAGAACTCCAGAAGTGTTATGAGGTGCCATCAAATTGATTTTGACTCACAGCAACACCATGTATAATACAACACAAGACTACCCAATCCTGCGCTGTCTTCACCATCATTGCTATGTCTGACCCAATGTTGTAGCTGCTGTGGCCATCCATCTCATTGCTATATTTGTGTCAAAATATTACTGTATCATGACCAGGCTAAAACAATGATTCAAGAAGAATATATACACTGCGTTGGCTCGTGTCTCTCTTGCATCCTTTACAGGGAATGAGACCTGAAAGTGAGCTGGAGCAATAAACAGCAACTATCAGCATGAGCTACAAACCTTATGATGATGAGTCAGACTTCTCCAGTCACTCAAAGGAAGGACTCACTGTCCAAACCAAGGCTGTCATTTATCAAGGGACTTGATATGAGCTTAAGGCACAGCAGAAGTATTTAACTTTTACTTTGGTAAGTTACCTAAAGTAACTAAAGAAAAATTTCATACTAAGAATTGCTGTCAAGATTCCTGAAGGTTGTGACTAACCAAGGGGCAGGAGTTTTAGTCTGTGTTACAGGTCAAAAGCTCTCCAGTAT